CCAGATTGACGATATTCAGGCACGGTACGAGCGCCAGATCAGCAACATCACGGAGGATGCCCAGAGATCCGAACAGAACCTCCTGGAGCGCCTTAGCATATCTGCATCCAAGTCCGAGTACTTGCAGGACAAGGTGGCACATCTCGAAGAGAAGCTGGAGATTGCAAAGGAGGCTGCCCGGGCCGCTGCTCAGGCTGCCAAGTCCTCGACTGTTGGCCAAGAAGCTGTCTTCCAGTATGCGACATCCACACGTGAACTTTCAGTGCCCGAGAAGATCTCACCGCAGGCACTACGCGAGTCGATCATGGTTCTGCAAGAACAGCTCCAAGAGCGCGAGCAGAGAATTGAAGAGCTTGAGCAGAGGCTCTCCAAGGCTGATCCTGATGCGGAGACCAAGATTTCTAAGCGTGATGACGAAATTATGTGGCTCCGCGAGCTTCTTGCTGTAAGGCACTCTGATCTTGACGATATTATCACTGCCGTCGGACGGGACGATTACGACAAGAATGCCGTCAAGGATGCAGCAATTCGCCTGAAGGCCAATCTTCAGATGGAGGAGCAGGAACGGGAGAGAGCCATGAATGGCGGTTCAGCAATAACCCTGCCCAATATCGCTGCCACAATCCAGGCAGCGACACCTCGCGTTGCTCAAGCCGTCGGTCCTTTGGCAGCCGCATGGGGTAACTGGCGAAAGGGAAGAGACCTCGGGAGCTCTTTGGCGTCCCCTTCTCCCGCAAACAACTCGACACCTTCCAAGAGCAGTCCCTCAACTAGCAGCTTTCTTGGTGGCTTATTGACGCCGCCTGCCTCTGGTGTTCGTCAAATCACACCCGTCGCCGGCGCTCAAGCCCAGCAACCTACTGCTTTCTCGAGTACTGGTCGTCGGTTTACTCCACAGGATCTCGCCAACAGACCTCGAGGACCCTCATCAACCTCCATACATGGGGTTGTTGCGCCGATAGCGAGCACTCCCCCTCGTCGTGCTTTAGCAGTATCCGAGCCAGTGACTCCTCCGATGATGCGTCCTACTACTTATGACTCGGATGCACAAATTGAGGATTTTGATGACGACGGATTCTTTGATGAGAATTAAAGATCTACCGGAATTATTGAAGACTGCTCGATCGGATATATATTTTTCTTTTGTCAGAAATTTCTTTTTTCTTTGCGTTTTTCATAGTAATTTGTTTAAGACCGCGACGTTTTCTATTAGATATGATGAACAAAAGAATTCAGGGCAGTAATCCGGGGAGGAAAGAAAGGGAAGAATGGAAGGAGGGAAAGAGGGGCAAGTACCTCGATTAAGTGGGAAGAGATACAAAGAAAGAGATAAGGGAGAAGAGGAGGGAGGAAGGGAGGGAAGCGGATAGGTTTCATTTTTGTTGGTGTTTCTGTTTTCGTTTGGTTGTTTGATCTTTCAGAAATTTTGCATTTTTTCGCCCTTTCATCTCTTCTATTGCCATACAGTTTAAAACTGTCATTGGTCTTTTTTTATTGAACTTTTTTTTTCCTTACATCACTTTACCTACGCCATTACAAACAACTCCCACCATTTATCTAAACTAGAATGATACCCCCTAAATTTCTTTCTCTCTCCCCACTACATTAAACAAATTTTCTTTTCCTTCACTTTAAGAAGACACTGGGTGTTTGTTTTCTTTGTTCTGACCTTTGGTAGTGAACTGATGGTGTGCTTGTGATTGCGGGGATGGTGATGCAGTTGAGATGGGGTGTCTATGTCTGTTACTGCTGGCTGCTGTTGTTTTCATTGTAGTGTACAGTTTGTCTTGATGTCTATATACTTTTCATCCTTATTTTTTGTTCATACTACAGTTATTGTTGTCTTTGTTCTTTTCGTCGCAGAATATTTGTCCATTCTTTGGCGCTCTGCTGGGATTAGTTGATCATTCGCTCATTCATTCATTCATTCAGAGGGTTGGGAGCTCCGCCCTCGCCCCCTTTTTTTGGTCTTTTATAATTTTGTGGAAATGTATTGTTGGTCTGGGCTGGCTGGTCCTTTAAATTCGGTAGAGTGTAGAAAGACAAAGATAAATAGACTTTTTTACTGTGAAAGCAGAAATATTTTGTCATTTTTCGGGATGCTCTATTATGTATTATGGCTAGTCTAATATAATTTGTCTTTATTCCGATTTTTTTTTTTCTCCTTTCCCTTTCACTTTTAGAATGTATCATAAATTTGTCCCACCTGAGGCTTTGTAGAACGTAGTTGCATACTTTATTTGATATCAGCTAGGTCTATGTGTATGTATGTGTATGTATATTCTATTTACGTAGCGTACATGCATTTCATTCTCTCTTGTAGTAATAACTCCACCTTTTTATGTTCTGGATCGTGACCGTTTCACACCCGTGTACGGATACCTATGTACCCCTGATTTTCCCCTGAAATTAGTGGAGTATATACGGGTGTAAGGATGCAGGAACAGCAGAGGAGACTCCGCTTGGACTCCGCTGTCAGTTCCTCTTTTTCGGTAGGTTCCGACTTATACATATGCACACTGTACGGTACAGATGTACAAGTGTCCAATACATATGTTTGTGATGGAAGTCTTGTGGGATAAAATACCATATCAGGATCAAGGTAGATAATATCCAGATTCTAAAAAAAGAAAAACCGGCTTGCTCAGAAAACTCCCACAGGATACACACCCTCCACTTTCCTATCCGGCCTAATAACCGGAACACTCTCATACTCTTGTCTCTCAACAGTTCCATTTGCAAATGGAGGCATCCTCCTCACCGGTCCAATCAGTTCAGATATATGCTTTGCGATATTTAACAGTTTTCCTTCGGTCCATTTCCTTCCTAAGATCTCCATGCCAACAGGAATACCTGAGGGGGCCGATGCCGTGGAAGAAGAAAACCCAGCGGGGATGTTAATGACCGGTCGTCCCGTCAGAGCCGCCAATATCCCGTTTCTTCCCGCTTGAGACGGTGAACCTATTTTGACTACCAAATTCTTTTGCTCTGGGTAGACTATGGCGTCTAGGTTGTTTGTGGTAAAAGTAGTTTCGAGCGTGTTGATTAGATTTTGTATTCCGTGGAGGTTTTGGAGGTAGGTCGTGTTTGATGTTGAAGAAGTAAAAGCTGAGCGGAGGTATTGGTATTGAGCTGGAATGACGAGGAAATTTTGAGAGGGGGTTTGGTATAATTCTTCAAAGGTGTTTGGTTGTGGGGATGTGGCATCTGTGAGCGATGGACGTGCTAGGTAGGCGTCTAGTTGCTGTCTGAATTCGTAGATTTGTACATCTAGGGTTGCTAGAGTCAGGGTATTATAGATTGGGTCCGTTATGTTGATTACGGTGGCTCCCGCGGATGTGAGGTCAGAAATGATGGAGGACATGATGTCGTTTACTGGGGTTGTTTCGGGGGATGGAGTGTGATTGAAGAAGCCGTTTAGTACACCGAAGCGAAGACCTTTGAGGCTACCACCGTATAGAGAGGCGGAATAATCTTTGTGTTGGACTTCTGGGGAGATGGAGGCTGTTGTGTTGTCGTTTGGCTCGAAGCCTACACTAGACATGATGGTCAGAGCGACGGTTAGGTCGTTTAAATTGCGAGCCATTGCCCCGACGGTGTCTTGAGTGAAGCTGACGGGGATGACTCCTGCTCGGGAGATGAGACCTCGAGTTGGGCGGAAACTGAACAATGATCCGGCGCTTGCTGGACTTCGTAGGGAGTTTACTGTGTCGGTTCCGGTACCAAATATGGCAAAGTTGGCGGTTATTGCTGCTCCTGTCCCTCCACTGCTGCCTCCTGGTGTCCGGGTGAGGTCAAATGGGTTTTTGGTTTGGCCACCAAGGGACGAGACAGACAAGCCTTCGAGAGCCATCTCGTGCAGGTTTGTCTTGCCGAGTATGATGGCTCCCGCGTTTCGGAGAGCAGCGACTGTTGGAGCATCTTCTTTGGGCTTGTTATTTGCCAAGGCTAGAGCAGCTCCCGTCGTGTTAGTACCGACAGCATCGTAGTTGTCTTTGAGAAGAACAGGAATGCAAAACAGAGGTCCTGTGACGTTTCCAGAAGCGATTCTCTCATCGAGATGGTCAGCGATGGAGAGAGCATCGTGATTCAGGGAGATAACGGCGTTGATGGCAGGGTTGAACTCTTCGATACGGGCGATGAAAGCTGATACAATCTCTCGACACGTTGTGATGCCAGTGAAGAGAGCATTGTGTACACTTTCGATGCTGGCTTCCCGAACATCGAAGGCATCATGAAGAGCCGATGCTGGTTTGGACAGAGATAAGAGCGTTAGGGGTTGGAGCAAGAGATAGCTCAATCGTTTCAGGGATGGTGAAGGGACCATGGCTTCATGAGTTGGTGTATAATGGAGATTGATGGCCTTCAAATGCTCACTGATGTGTTTTCGATGAAGAGGGGAAATGGTGGGTCAGCGGAGTCATTTTGAACCCCCAAATACGCACTTTTCCAGATGAAGCTCTTCGTAAGTGCGTATATTCCCTCCGTCCCCCATCGGCATCAGAGGATCACTAGTGGTTTGTTTTTCTCACCGAGCCACCCGGACATTATTTTGCACCCCAACATCAACATCAACAAAGGAAAATATTTCCTATGAAGTCAAGTCAGCTGGTGAAAGCATGATTATGTAAGCTATCTACCACATGGCTCCATTTCCATGATATCTGATGAATGTTCTTTTTCTCCTATACAAGGAAGTGTAACTGTGTAAGATATTAGTGTTCAATCTATCACATTCAAATGAGAACTTGCATGTGACGTAATCCATGGACTTGAAAGCAAGGGACACGACTTTCAGTTTCTGCAGCCTTCTGTCGTGAAGTGTTTGCCTGCTGGTGCCGCGTGGTGGTCCACTACTAGCCAGATCCATGGATGTGAGACAATGAGGAAGCCACGAACTTACACCTACCACGCCCAAAACTTGATAGGTCTGCCCAACACTTGTCAGTTCAACCAAAATGAAACAGAACCCAGGGGTTCTAGTCCAGCGGTACTGTGCGGTCGTCGTAGAGAAATGGTAACTCGTCAGCCTCCTATACAGGCAAGCTGAAGATTGTGGGTTCGAGTCCCGCCGGCGATGTTCTTTTCTTTTTTGGCTTGAAACACAATTCGCCATGTTCTATTGCCAAATATTGAACACAATTAATCAAGCAAATCTATGATACATTGAATGCAGACCGACCTTTTTTCGCCATACATATACAAGATGCCTGCCACAAAGATGAACATACCACGTACATCTTTATAGCCCCTTCTTCTCGTCGCCAGCAGCCGCCGCCTTGGATTTACGAGGCTTCACCGACCCAGGCGGTGTCTTGAGGCCAAAGAATACCAACAAGCTCACACCAGCAATACCAGTAGCTCCGAGGGTATATGCGACCTCACGCCCTGCCCACCAGTACACGCTGGTGAACAAAACCGGACCCAACCCTCTACCAAGCTGGCCCCAGCTTCTGAGAATACCCAGCTTCCCACCGCGCTCGCCTTCGTTCGCCTCAAAGCTGCTGAGAGTATTCAACCCCGAAACAACAGTTGCCGAAGTTGTCGCCAAGCCGGTGGCGGCCAAATAGAGACCAGAAACAGATGAGATGCGGCCAAGCAGCACGAAAGAAACGAGGCACGCTACGACGCCGATTTTGACGGATAAGAGTGGTGGCAGACGACGAGTGACACCGCCCTGCAACAGAGAGGCAATCAGACCTACATAACCAAGAAGTCTTCCATTCTTGGCAGAGGTGTATGCAAACAAGTCGTAGGTCATGAAGGGAAGAGAGAATTCCATGCCTGAGAAGAAGAGGAGGAACGTCATGTGAACCATATTGAGCAAGAAGTGGGAGTTGGTCCTCTGAACTGGCGCCGTCTTTGCCTCTCCCGTCTTTTGCACACCGTTGGAAGAGGAGGCTTCCTTTTTGGCATTGACCAATGAGGGCAAAGTTTCCGGCAGTGTAAAGTAGAGATAGACAGTCTCTAGGACAATCAAGAACAGCGACACTCCAGCAGCGGTAGCGAAAGGGTTGGCGGCAACCGTGGCGATGGAGCTGAGCCAGGCACCCAGCGCGGGGCCGAAAGTGAAGGCAATGGAGAAGCATGCACCGATGAGAGCCATGGTTGAACCGCGATCGTTTACATCGGAAATATCCGTGGCAATGGCCGTGGCCAGCTGAACGTTACCCTCGGACAAGCCCCCAACAATGCGCGATGCCAGAAAGGTGCGGAAGTCTACGGCTACAACCCAAAGGAGGACCGAGAGAATATTTCCCGCCATGCTGGCGAGCAATGCCGTGCGACGGCCATAGCGATCGGAGAGGTGACCGATGAAGGGGGAGGCGACGGCCTGGAGGAGACTGAAGAGACTGCCCAGCGCTCCGCCCAGCAGAACGATGTCGTAACGAGAGTCAATGGGTCGGGCAAAGGCGGCCTTGTACGCGTTGAGGTAACCCAGAACGCTGGAGAGGAGGGTTTTGGTGGCCGGGGCAGAGGGATCGGTTGGGACTTCGGTGTTACGGTAGAACTCGAGGAGCTTGGGGAAAAGGGGGAGAATAAAGGTGAAGGAGATCTGTGCGAAGTGGTCGCGGACAGACCATTCATTGTTAGTCAATGTCTCTAATAATCTAGCGCACAGTACATTCATACCAAGTCCAGCAACAATGAGACGAAAATGACCCTCAGAACCCGTTTTCGAGTGGCCGCTTCTACGGGTGGCGCCATGATTTTGTAAATGCGATTTCGATGATGAGAGTATGTCCAGGGTAGGTAGGGCGGAGGTATTTATTACAATTCAGAAACAGTCTAAAAAGAGAGGGAAAGAACGTGTAGAAGAAAAGAACTTAAGCTCAAAATGTACAATCTGTCACCATCCCACGCAGCATCAAGCTGTCCGGTTTTTTAGGCGGTTTGTCAGTGTGTCCAGTGTGACGGGTCCTTGAATGGCACTCCGTCCCCGTCGGTGGTGGTATCCGCGACGGAATACGCTGGTGGAGAAGCCCAGATTCGGTCTTCGGAGCTTACGCCACACCCCACCCAAGTTTTAAGATTTCTAGTGTAAAGCCACAGTTGATCGACACCCACCCACGGACCGGGGGGGGGGGAAACAAGCACCCTCTCCCCTGCTCCTTTCCCTGTCGCCAACGCTTTTCGTTTCACCCGATCATCACATCTTCAAACTTTTTACCTTTCCCCAATGATGTCTTGTAATGAGATGACACAGGCTCCACGGATTCGTGTTTCGTACAACAAGGGCGTCTTCGATTTGAGCAGCCACAAGAACTCGTGTGCGAGCGAAGATGATTTATTCCGCATGGAAGATCCCCAGATGATCACATCTTTATTGTTCTCTGAACGATCACCACAGCACTTTAGTTGCCGCAAAGTCACTACGAACCTTGGATACTCGGCCGATGCGGTTTGCCTTGCCAAAATAAAAGATGCTGTGTAAATATGGTCCAAGCCCAGGGCAAGTATATCCGAGTGAGAAGCAGGTCGCATTGGCCACAACGCCTTCAATGCAGGGGGAAGGACAAACCACAGGTTGAGATCGGCTGCCTATGGTGATGGGAGGTGACATTGGCCCCCCCTTCAGGCCGTCATCCCTCAATCGTCGACCCATGGATCGCCCTCCCTCTTCGGCACATCTGAGCTGCAGGGAGTCAGGGGGAGGAAAAAGAAAACCACCTTGACTTACACCGAGGAAGCGCCTTGGAAGGGGCGGGGTGGCTGTCCCCCTTTAGCCGCCAAGGGCAACCATGTGTGTGTGTAGACATCATTCAATATGTAGTATCTGGTTGTTTGCGTCCCGCGCCTTGGGATTGGGCTTCTGTTTGTATGTATCTATGTACATACATGTACATGTCCGTCCCCTGAATCTTTTAAAAGGGGTGCTTCCATCCCCCCTCAGGGTATTCCAAACTCTTCTCTCTTTTCTTTCCTCCTCAGTACCTTTGGTGCCATTCACTCGTTCCTCGTCACTCGTTGTCTTCTATCAACCATGAAGCCCATCACTCTCCTCATCACCTCCTTTGTGGCCCACGCAACCGCCCATGGAGGTGAGCACCACTACGAGAAACCCTCCTTCTCTATCGCACCCCCTTATCCAGGTCCCGGAAAATGGACCACCTCAACAGTCTACACAACCACAACGGCAACCATCACCAGCTGTCCTCCCAAATACACAGACTGTCCTGCTCATTCAACAGTCTTGACAACCGTTACAATCCCCGTCAGCACTACTATCTGTCCCGTAACTGAGACCACAGCTCCTCCTCCCCCTCCCCCTCCTCCTACGTCTGTTCCTCCCCCTCCTCCGCCCCCAACATCCTCTTTGCCCCCCCCTCCCCCTCCTCCCCCACCTCCTCCCCCGCCGTCGTCAACTGTTATTCCCCCGCCGCCGCCTCCTCCTCCTGTGACGACTATTCCTCCACCTCCGCCTCCTCCTCCCCCGGTTACGACTACAAGCAAATCCTTTGGAACTATTACTCAGCCTACAAAGACTGCTACTTCATCCCAGGTTATTGTAACTGCTGGAGCTGCAGAGTTTAACATCCAGAGGGCTGGAGGTGCTTTGGCTGTTATTGCTGCTGCCGCCGCTCTTCTCTAAGGGATTGGTTGGTATAGGATGGAATTATGATTATGAATTTTGGGAAAGGACTTTTTATGATGGGAATGGGATGGAAAGTTTTCTGACCTTCTTGAGAACTTTTGTTTTGTCGTTTGAGAAAACGGCACGCAAAAAAGGGACATTTTTTTAGACATAGTTTTATGTGTATGTTTGTGTGGATTATGGTATCTAATTCATAGTTATATGGTTTCTTTGCTTTGGAACTGTAATGGGGACTTTTGCAACAGAAAATAGGAAAAAAGTTCATTAATCGATTTTTTGTGTTGGATATCTTTCCCAGAAGCTTTTCAAATTTACATACTATAGCGTGGTATCTGTTGAATTTGCATGATACACGGAGCAGGAGAAAGAGAAAGAAAGAAAGAAGGGAGACGAGGAGAGCTCACAGTCATGTAGTGCAACCCAACAAAACGAAGCTCAGCAAGCACAATAACAACACACAAACACACGACATAATTGCCCAACGTGACGCTCGTGTCGATCATTCAACCCATTGTCAGTGGTAAAACAGAGAAACCAATTTATCCGTACCGTCCCCGTCTCGTCTTTGTCAATCCTACCCCAACGGGAAACTCTCTTCTTTTCACCTTACCCAATCATTCAGAGAAACAGAAAACCACGGAAGGCATAATCTCTGATATTAAGAACCGGGCTGTCGAATACTGCTTCGGTTCGGTAAGGCTGGGCCTGTCTGTCACTGAGTGACGTGTTAGAATTCGCCAAGCAAAGCAATGACGGTACATAATTGGTTCCTGCGTCTTTCATCTCGGCGGTTCAATATAAATTGCTGGATGAGACTGTAGAATACGAGCTTTGCAATGTAGAAGATGGGTGGCTGGTGGGTTGTAACGAAAAATAAGCGATGTGTGTGTGTGTGGTTTGGTGTGTTACATTTCAGGTAGGACTGACTGAATTCCCGTCTGTCCCATTATCTCAACCCTCCTCTACACTGGTGCGGTAGCAAAGTGATGTCAGTAGGATAGACAAAAAAAGGTACCGAGTATTATTCCTTCCCATTGAATTATATCGATGGTCGGATTACAACCCACCACTCAACCGCCTCACAATCTCCTGCACATCAACTTTACCGCCCAACAACTCCCTCCCCGTCTCCCTATCCCTCTCCCCTTCAACCACAACAACCAACTTTTCCACCTCCCCATCATCTCCCATCACCAACCTCCCTATCCTCCCATCGGCCCACTCAAAGCTAACCTGCTTAGCCTCAGCATCAACAGCACTAACTTCCACTATCTCTTCCCCAACAGCAGCCTCTCTCAAATCAGCTACAACTCCCAACCGATGATGATACCTCGTAACCTCCCTCCTTAAAACCTTTGCAAACCTAACTAAATCCTGCTTCTTTTCCTTGTCCGAAGGTAAGTATCTTGCCGCTAACCCAGAAAGTGGTATACAAGGCGGTACGGTATGTCTATGTATCCGTAAATGTTTAGAGCCTGGATAAG